TCACTTAAAAAATTTAAATGGAGCACCAAAGCCCCAAGACAAACATAATAAATAAATTTCATTCTAAATGATAAAATTTAAGATATGCCAAAAAGTAATAGTTTGTTTGACATACTATCCTCCCTTTCTATTTCTACACCCCCTGTTTTTATGGAATTTATGGGGAAGAAATGACAAAACTGAAACAGTGAACATATGGAGAAAGAGAATAGACTTGTTTCCATCCCATGATAACAGGTGGCAAGAGAAAAAGTGAAAAATGTCCAGTTAGATCCAGATGCTGCATTTGATTGTATAAGATAGTGCTTGTTGATCTGAAAAGGGAACCCTGCACTTGAGGGAAAAATGATGATGAGATAAGAGGTGGCAAGCTCTGGAAGAGAAAGTTGCAGGGGGCATTTCTTGGTTGATGATATAAAAAGATCAGGAAATGGAAGAGAATATAGTTTAGTAGGCAGCTCAGTACTTCAAAAGAATTGGTCTTGGTGTACAGGGCTTTCTAAGCTGTTTCCTTGGTGAAATTGTATACTGGAATGTCCCCATGTTTATAGCTGTATTTTCTTCCTTGGCAGAAGGATCTAACAGAATCCCAGGAGAAAGTCCTGGTGTATTTATGTAACATCTAAATGAAACAGTTGATTCCTGTGATTTACATAGGAAACAGTTAGTTTACATTTTGTATTGTAAATCATACTTGGCCCTTAGAATCAGATTTCTCTATTCAATGCTACAGAGACATAACTGGGCCTCACATAGTAAGATTACTTGCTTTTTTCCTGGAAGAATCAAATGTTTATGTGATATTGTGAACAATTGTATAGGCAGCTGTAGCAAAGAAACTCAGCATTAAAGAATGTGCATTAAGAGTCACCTTGAACTGCAAGATGGATGGCAAATAAATTTGAACATAAGAGAGACATGGGAAAACAAAGTATTACATGGCCAGCGCAATAAAAAACAGCAATAGACTTATATACTGCTTTACAGCCTCTCTAAGCGGTTTACAGAGTCAGCATATTGCCCCCCAACAATCTAGGTCCTCATTTTACCGACCTCGGAAGGATGAAAGCCTGAGTTAACCTTGAGCCGGTCAGAATTGAACTGCCAAACTACTGGCAGCCGGCAGTCAGCAGAAGTAGTCTGCAATTCTGCATTGTAACCACTGCGACACCACGGTTCATGATAGTACACAAAGCAAATAATAACGAGATCTGGCAATAAAACCTTTACTGCTAAAAGCATAAAATTGAATAAAAGACACAGAGGGGCTAATTCTGGCTACACAAAACTAAGCTTTAAGAACTAATGCATACAAAGCTAGAATTGAGAAGACAACAATAGGCAGCAAGTGCTGTTTCTGCAAAGAAACAGTGGTTAGCTGCTGCAAGAAGATCATACAGACTGACTATAAGCAATGGCACGACAAAGTAGTAACAATAGTGCATTGCAAGATCTGCAAGAATACAATTTTCTTGCAAGCAAGAACCGGTGGGACCATAACTTAGGAAAGTCATAGAAAATGAAGCACTATGGGACTTTAGAATTCAAACCCAGGCACCTGCCACACAGCACCCCAGTCTTAACAACTGTTAATAAGAAAGAAAAAAATGCTAATTACTATAAGACAGCAAAGTAAAAGAAAAAGAATTGGAGAAGATAACAAAATACAAAGACCTGCAACTAGAAATAGGAACAACTGTGGCAAAAGAAAGCAAAGGTAATATCAATAGGAATAGGAGCCTTGGGTGCAATCCCAAAATAATTGGAGTACCACACCCTCAGCACTGACAAAACTACTATTAGTCAATTGCAACAGGCGGCTTTACTTGGAACAACTTACATCCTGCAACGATACCTATAACACCATCAAGCATCAACATCTGACTGTTCCAGATCCTTAGGAAAGACTCGGGCCTCTGATATTATTGGAGAGCCAAATATCTGCTATGACTATGGCAATTTCTGTGCTATATCCACCCATCTCCTCCAAGTTTTAAGGACATTTACTGCAGGTGGAAACAATGATTGTTTCCTCACTTACTAGTGGAAAGAAAAGACACTGGTTATATAACCCATAGAAGAAGGCAATTTGTTTTACAGGTAGAAATGCATTTGTTTAAAAGTCATCAATTCATTCAATTAGGGGGAAATCAGCTTAATGATGTATTCGAAATATACAGATTAAAATTGTATTTTTTAATCACCATGTATCTATTTTTTGGGACTTGTCCCTCCCTGTGACTCTGGCATGCTGCTTAGTAATTAAAGTCATATACTTTACTTTGGCTATCCTGGCTTTGGATTAGCATGTGAGTGTGCATATGAGTTTTGTGAGGAAAACTCCTCAAAAAGCATAGGCAGATCGACCAAATCTTCATTTCTGGATGGGGGCAGGGCTTCTCATGTCCTTTCCTGTTCTGTTGCAATTAGTAATTTACAATAAATTATCTTGAATAAACTATTTGAATGAATAAACGAATACATCATTTCAGCTTTAGCCAAGAGCATAACTATAAATAAAAAGTATTATATTAATAAAAATAGTGGATACCTTTATAGCAATAAAATAAATTGCTATACCTAAGATTTTTTTAAAAGCCTTTACTCAAAAATTCACATAATTCAAATCAGTCCTGTAGAATGGTTGTAACTCAAATCAAAACTCCTTATGTACTTTTGAAAGTCAGCAGCTCAAATTTTGAAATTCAGAAACTGTATTCATATGACAAAATATGAGAGAAAATTCAGTTATCAGAGAAAGTCATGCCAGCCTGCTTCTTCTTCTGAGTATTGGTATATTTTGCAGTGTTGTAATATTCCCTAAGTAGTAGTATATTGAATACTACTATAGCCAAAAGATTGATTATAAGAATGTTCCCTAATTAATATTGAGGAAAATGCTTTTCCTCAACATACTGATCTTTAAAAATAAGCAGATTGCTATTTTTTTAATGGAAATGAGCCAATGGATGTGAGCAGATGCATGATTACAAAACTTCATATCTAACATCCGTGTCATCTTATTGAACTCATTTACATTTCACCAGCAATAATAATATTGACCTGCATTTTGACAAAAGCTGTTGCAAGAATGATTTAACTAAGGCTCTAAAACAGGCATGTCCAATCCATGGCCCACATTGTTAGCCCTGGACAGCTAATAAGGTAATAAAAAATATTTAAAAATAAAGGAATTTTTTATGTTTATATACTTACCTATGTTATATATTTTATATGCATCCCAAAACAATTCCTCTACACTCAATGCGGCCCAGGCAAGCCAAAAGGTTTGACACCCATGTTCTGAGGAGCTGAAGATACTAAATAAATGCTAGGTCTCATATTGCATATGAAAACATTAATTTTCTAGAACTTTTTGATAAGATTCCCCCCCCCCAAATACTATATATCACATAGCATTTTAAAACAATTTATTTTCTTATATTGGCAATATCCTTTTGGTAAGGATTGGTAAATAAGTTAGATATCAGTAAGTAAATTGCTTTAAACTTTTCAGTTGCTTGTGGTTAATGTTACAAATCACAGCAAGGGCCTTTTGTATCTCAGTCTGACAGTTATTTGGGACCAAATACTGTAAGTGGAAATGTGTTTAAATTAAACATTAATATTACATTGAATTTGATTATTAACCAGAATTTGATTATAACTCAGATGTCTGCATACTTAGCAAAAATGTTAAGTACCCCCAAAATCTTATATTTTATTTTAAAGGCTATGTAGGGAATAAAGAACACATTCATATCAGATGTGGGTATGAAGAAATAGTCATATGATTTTCTGAAGAACATGTATTCATACGAAGAATTCGTAACTGACATATACTGCAATATTGTAGTGCCATACTTTCTATTATAGAGTAATCTCAGAACTAGTCTTTGTTCCTATAAAACCTCTGTGTGTGTGTGTGTGTGTGTGTGTGTGTGTGTGTGTGAGAGAGAGAGAGAGAGAGAGAGAGAGAGAGATTGTTATCTATCTATTCCCAGAATTATGCTTGTTTTTCATTCTTACACCCTTCCCCTTATTATCCAAATGTTTACTACTTTAAAAATAAACTACAATTCTTCATACATTATTTTATGATTAAATAGTTATACTAAGATGTGTATTCACATGATTTTATATTTACAAATGGGACAATAGAACATAGCTCCATGGTGACTGGATTGAAAATTCATTTGGTACACATCTGGAAGAGAAACAATCTGTTTTGCACCTTCCAAGATAATGCTCAAATTGGAACATATTGGAATATGACATCTTTGATATCAGCTTTTTTTCAACTTTAGAAAACACCAAGCTAGTACAGAATCTGCATGCACTGTTATCCAGATCTGCATTTCCGAAGTAGTTATACATAAATATAGAAGTTGACAGAATGGATTGAGTGAACCTGATAAGCTGCTGTTACATGGCTAGTACTAATTAATTGTGCAAAATTATTTCTACTAACAACAGGTTACACAGAAATTTGATCTAATATTCATAAAATACTTGCAGCATATTTCTCATTTGATTAATAATAATCATTAAAATATATGTATTTCAGAACGTTGTGAAGTTCCATTAAATAAAATCTTGCTAATTTTTTCCATCATGGCTATGCTTCAGTTGCCTTTTGAAAACAAAGACAAATCTAGTATTTTAATATATGCAAGAGACTGATTGATATTGGATAAAGTTATGTCGGTAAAACAGATTGGAATTTCTTCAGACATGTTCCATTCTATATCCATCCCAACTAAGATAAAAAAGTCTGAATTAGATAAGGTATTCTGCTTTGAAAAGCGTTTCTTTGAACCAATGCTATAAAATAGAGCCTTTGTAACAAGAGAGTGATACATTGCAAAAAGTACACATAAAGGGTTATTTGTTAACTCAACAATTAAAGGATAAAATGAGATAGAAAAATTAACGGAGAGTGCTTTTTCCACTCCATGAAGTGTCAAAATAGATGTGTTGAACACAGTAGTCAACCACCATTTCCAAGTATTAACCATTTATAAATAAGTACATTTTAATACATACAGTTCATTGTACAGGTTACAATCTGTATACATTAGGGAGGGGCTGAGGATAATGCATTCTTTTTGAACTTTTTCCACGTCTATCTCACAGCTTACATGTACAGACAATAAAACTCTGCTCAAGCAAATACAGTGAAGGGAAAGAAACATATTTCTTTCCTTTATACAGGGGTGGCCAAAAGTCTTAACCGATTGCAGGGATTTGTGCAGCATCCCTGCAATAAAAGATCACAACTGTGTGGTGATTCAATATATCCGTAAGAGAACAGAACATGCAATTGAATATTATACTGTACAGGAAAATTCTTTACATCAGTCTGATAGAAAAAAGGAAAAGGAAAAGAACTCGGTATCTTTCCAGCAAGTTGGCAAACCAGAAAGATTGAATACAAAGGAATGTGTGTTGCTGTACAGAGGCAGACAAGGCAGGCAAAATATCTCAATTTTCATGGGAAAGAAATTGTTATGAGAAACATATTTAAAAGCAAAACAGTCATTCCCTGAAAACATATCTTCTATCTAAACATATTAATGCCTTGCACTCTGTAGAATGATTAGTAACAGTAAATATGGTAGGAAATGATCTCAAAGTCTGGTAAATGTTCAGGTGGAACAAAGTCAAACTGCCTCAGTTCTCTCATAGTCTTTGTGATAGCAACAAGCAAAAAGCATCTAAGTGTGTCCCCCCCCTTTTTTTTACTTCCAAGTAAGACTTCCAAGCAAGCAGAAAAGTGTAGAAGCTCATTCCATTTTATTAAAAGTCTCTTGAATATGCACTTGTTTGAAATGCAAAAGCATTTCTCTCTGCATTTCAAGCAAGTGCGTATTCATACATTATATCAAGGTCCTAATCTGAAATACCAATTAGATAATACTGTGTTGAGGTTCTATGTTAATTCAGTTACCACTACACAAAATAGTCTGCTATGAAATTTCAGCCCTTAATATGATTTTTCTTGTTAGGGGAACAATAATAATCCAACAATTATATTCAAGTAATTAGGGAGGGGTGGCGCAGTTTAGCTATCTACCCCTTTGTGCTTGTGCCTTAGGTTTGTCCTTCCCTTTTCACAGCAACCATAAATTCAGTGAAGGCATCAACATGTAAAAAGAAGTATATTAGGTTTTGACCCCTCTAAGCCCTTTTAAAAAGCTGAACTCTAAATAGCTGAAGGTCCTGAAACTCCAGTGTTAAGTAACGCGAGATGGGGAGAGAGATGCAGCTTTCCATTCAAGAAATTACTATGGGCTACCTTAAGGAGAGAAGAGAAATTTCTAGGCACAAAGTGTTTGTTTTTTTTTTAAATGTAAGGTGCAGAAAAGCTGGCACTTCGGTTTTTATTAGATGATCATGAACAGTAGAAACTTGTTAACTCCTGTCTAAGGCCAAGTGAACAGCTTGGAATTTCAAAATGGATGCATTTTTGTTCCTTCTTTTAGCACATTTTGTAATAAAATTTGAAAAAATAAACATACTACCTTCCCTCTTTGCCCTCCCCATGATAGTTTCTACTTCTACTAAACAGTAAAATAATTTATATTTCAGATATTCGATATTTTTGAGAGCCTCAAAGAAACTTTTTGATATAAGAATAAATAATTGAGCCATTTACCAAGCTAGCAACTCTCTCCCCTGGAGCCAAGCCAAACTTAACATGTATTAAGATTTCTACATGATTCTTAGGACCTGATAGCAATCTTACTTGGACCCAGCTTACCTAATTGTTTCAAATTCTTAGAAGTCAGCATTACAGTACTAAGTCTCCAAAGTCCTCTAGAAAGCAAATTCAGGGGCCAAACAAGACAAAATTAATGTGTGAATGCAATTAACATGCCCATTTTTTAATATGTTAAGATGGACCAGTGAAGACAGAGAGAGGAAGTAGTTTCCTCTTTCTGCCAGTTAAGCTGTTTTACATTTAATAGGAAGCCTCTGTTGATGATTTTGGAGAGGTAATTTTTGTAATGATCTTAGGAAAGGGATAAAGAATTCAATTTTGTTTAAGACTGCTTAGGCTTCATATTTGTACTAGAATCAGCTGGTACATCTTTGACAGCCAGATGCATAATAAATTAGCATCTAGATTTTTGTTCACGAAAATATCCAGTGAGCAAAAAAACTTTCTGCAAAGCCCGAGTAACACCATGTGGTGGATTTGGTAAAGCAAGCATACATTCACAGTAAAAGTCATATAGGACTTGAGGCTGTGATTTATTTGGTATGTTGATTTCATAGAAAATAGTTCTGAAACTCCAGCTTAGGCATGTGATGTGCACACATGTATAAATAAAAAAATATTAGTACAATACTTTTGCATGTCTTTAAACAAACAAAAAAGCAGCATGGCAGATCAATCTGTGATGTGGTATTAGCCACTCTCTCTTAACTATCCTGAGTAGGGAAAAAAATCATTTGAAAGATGAATTAAAAGACAATTAAATATATTATTTTGTGCTGTGTTATATCTCAAGACAGTATATGATAAGCAATAAAGAACTAAGCTGAGAACAAATCCAGAGGGAATTCTTCTCTGGCAGATCTTCAGAGAAATGTGTCTTTTATTTCATGTGAGATGGTTATTTGGTAACTAAAAGCACAATAATTAAGCCTCAGATGCACCTAAAGAGAATTGCTGGAACACAGCATGTGTTTCTCTTTGTACTAAAAATGATTTCAACTTTTGAGGCTTATATACAATGTCAGTAATTGTGCTGTATACCTTGAATCATTGCTTCTTTTTTAAAAAATATATACTGAACGACAAGAGCTTTTTGTAATGTTGGTATCATTTATGTTTAAATAACCATTACTGATCATAGAAACAAATGCAACTATAAACTGCACCCAATTTACAGAGAACAGGTGGCAAATCCATCAGTGCAAGAATCTTGTGAAATCACAACACAGTACTGTTAAGAAGGGACAGAAATTTTTTTTGCCCAACAGCAGTAATAGATACCTCATTTTGGATGAATATGCCATTTCTTTTACTAACTGCTAAATGTAAACAATTATGGTACAGTGAATCCTGTGACAGTGAAAATGGAGCCAAATCCAAAACTATGAACTTTCATTCATTAATATTAAAATCTTGAAATTATCAAGTTAGTTGCATTATGATTCCACCTTCCATATGACAGAGATGGTTTATTAATTATTTTTAACTTTATTTATCAGGAAAGAGTGGCTAGTATCTCAGTGCACTTATGTTGATCACGTGCACTGTGGTACAAGCGACTATATAAAGGCTCAAAATCAGAACATAACAATCTGACCCTCCTCTGCCTATTGTGAGAAAATAGGTTCTAGCTTTTCCAAGATATAAGCCAGACAAGTGCAAAAATGTTTTCAAAATAAATCACTGATAAACACAACTTTGTTGATGCAAATTCCAGTTTTAAAGAGTTTAAAATTGAAAATAACCATTTTTCATAAAGCAGGAGGAAAGTTTTACAAGACCCAGAATCCAAACCATCTAGGAGATAAAAGAAATATATGAGAAAAACAGCAGTGGCTTTGTCTATTCTGATAATTTTAAAAAAGTAAATATAGAGTTGCATCTTTAGATTGTTTATGAAACTTTTCCTTCACTTCTCTCACACTCCTGCATCATACATACACATTCACACTGAAAGAAAAGAGAACACTATTGTTGGTTTCACTCAATTAAATAAAAACTGAAGAATGCCCCCAGCTCTTTGAAAAAAAGCATTAGCAAACATCTGAGATTCTTTGACACCAGCATGCCATAGCATGAATCAATCAGATTAGCAATTTTCTATTTAGCAAGCAAATTTTGTACAGTGACCAATTCAGGAGGGAAAAAATACGAGCAAAAAGTTAGAAACTATCAAAATCAAAGTAAAAGTTCAGGTAATCCTAGATTTATGACCATAATTGATCCCAAAATTTCCATTGCTAAGTGAGTTTTGCTCCATTTTACTATCTTTCTTGCCATGGTTATGAAGTAAAGTCACTGCAGTTAGTTATTAGTTATACTAGTAATACAATTGTTAAGTGAATCTGACTTCCTCATTGACTTTGCTTGTCAGAAAGTTGCAAAGGGAGATCACGTGATCCAAGAACACTGCAACCATCATAAATACTTGCCAGTTGCCAAGTGTCAAATTTCGATCACATGATCATGGGGATGCTGCAACAGTCTTGTGAAAAAGTCATATTTTTCAGTGCTATTGTAACTGGTCACTAAATGAATGTAAGTCAAGGACTACCTGTAACTTTTGGAAATGCTACATTTCACTTAGAGAAATATGGCAGTTTACAATAAGGATACAAGAAATGACTAGAGAAAATAGTGATTAAAATTGTTACATTGATCTCTTTGCTTTTCTGAGCTCTGTCAGGAGACAGGAAAAACGTCTTTTATCATACCCTTCAATTCATATGAAGGAACTCCTGAATACAGCATTTTTTAAAAAAATAGTGTCATAAAGCAGAGTGTAAGGTGTTCTGTATTTTAAAACCATTAGGATAGTTTGAAAAAAATAATGAAGAAAAATTAAAGGGTCAGGATGCTAGCTATTTACTTCTATGCAACTATATGAAGACCCCCCCCCTTTTTTTTTTTTTACAAAATATGATTTTTAGAAGATAAGGCCAATTTATCCTCTGAATGATCAAAATGCAGAAAAGGCAAAATGTTATTTCTTTTTTGGCCTGATTTGTGTTTCTGCTCTGGAGATGAGCTCTCCATACCATTGGTTTCTTGATTCACATATTAATTCATAGAATATTCTCCATCACTGGATTTCCTGGCACCTTCCCAACTCCAGGTTTTTTTGAGCTAATTTAAAGTGCTTCCTGGAAATAGTATGGATTGAGAATATTTGTATAAAGTGTTTGCTACATTATTATTTTCTCCCTTGAAATCACTGTTTTCATTATCTTGCAGGAATTATTAATCAGTCAGCCTTTTTCATTTGGATTGGAAAAGCAGCCCAACTTCTAACACCAAGCCATATAACTCAACAACAAATTACTCCAAAATAGTCTAAATTATATTATGCCAAAACTAGAGAAAAAAAGGTTTCACTTGTTCTAAGTGTTTCACTTCAAAAGCATTATGCAGGAAAAACTGCCCATGTGTAGTCTAGGAAGCTAAACTTAGGCCCGGGGAATTAAAACTACCATTCAGTCAGTTCTTCTTTTATGATTTAAAATAGGGTTTTCTAATTTTAGATACTCAGATAATGCTCCAACACCCCTAGGAAACATAAACAATGATCAGAGATGATGTGAAGTATAATCCAGTATCTGAAGAGCCAATGATTTAAACATTTGATTAATTCTTTTTAAAAATGAATTTTACTGATTATCAACATGTCTACAATGTGATTTGTTCCAACAGGAAGATATGCACTTGAAAATTAACTGGATATCTAAGATACAGAATGAAATCAGCACTGACTGTTGGGCTGAAGTGAAGAGAACTTTAATTTCTCCCTAAATATTTGTTCAATGCCTTGGAAAAAGTAACAAATTGTTTTTCAAACCTAGTATCAACCGAAGGGTAAGGGAAGATGCTAAGAATAAATAATTTTTTTTTTTTTAAAAAGTGCAACCCTATCAGAAAGCAGACTGGGTTTTATGCATAGCTCTTTGTTAATACTAAAAGCAAAGATCCCTCATTCTCACAAATTAATAGCTCTTTGGACATAATGATCTACACCAACTGAAAAGTATAATTTCCCAGGAAAAAGAAACGTCAGTTCACAAAAAATGGTCAGACTGTATTTAAATAAATTAAATTCTGAAATTAAAACTTTTCTTCAAAGAGCTGGTTACTTCCCTTGAGGGTGTGCAGAATTTGACTCAGCCCCCATACTGTACATTTAATTAACTAATTGGCAGCTGAAAATTGTATGGTGCTGGCTTTCTCTGAGGTCAGCTGTGTATAGAAGAGAATTTGGAGCATGTCTTGGACTGCCTCATTATCATACAGAAAACACAGGATATCCCCTGGGTGGTAGTCTTCTAGTAAATACAAATCTTAGAAAGGAAGAAAAAACAGCAACATAAGATGTGAATTCAGCCAGGAAAAATGTGCTAAAAAATAAAAGGCTCTTACTCCAAGACACATCCATTTTAAACATTAGACTCCACAAATGGTCTCTTTGGTTTGATTGGGGATGTCTGCCCTTGCCTGGAGTCTCTGGAAAGTTGCCTATAGATGTTGTCCTGATATGCCTGTGCAACAGGCAGTGTCCTGGCCACCTTAACATCAGGATATGAAGAAGTTTGGCTAACTCTTTCTAGAAGATCTCCTCTGGAGCCATTGGCCAAAATCCCGTGTGGACTGTAATAGTCATCCTCCAACAAGTGGCCATTCTGTGCATTGTTAGTTTTGTTATAAAAGGCAAGGCTGCTGACTGAAGAAGGTGGGCTGAATGTTTCTGGCTGAGGAAGATTTCCAGGAGATGTAGGGCTTATAATGGTATCCACTGAAGATACAGCCCAGGTTCTGTTTTGTTGGTGTAGGTGAGGATACTGCTGAGTCCGGGCTGTTTTATCTATGATTCCCATGAAAGGTGTGGTCCTGGAGCGAGCAGGTTCACTGGGATAACCACCTTGGGTTGGAGATACTGGGGAAAGCTCATCACATGATCTGTCATATGCTGGCTTAAGCGGAATCTCCATCTGTTGAACAGAAGCAGAAGGTCGGAATGGGGGAGTCAAATTGGGAGTAGAGGAAATGCTACTGCTAGAAGGGGAAAATCTGAGACCAACACTTTGAGAATGTAGTAGAGGTCTTGGAGTTGGTGGATGAGGCTTTATTTCATTGGAATTTACTGTAATGGGCCTTCGTATCAAATGGGAAATGTCAGGAGAACCAAGCTGACTAGAGGGTAGAGAGGAACGTTCCAAATCAAGCTTTGCATGACAGACTGGATAGTAGGAAGCTGACTGGCTCCGTCCAATCTGTGGGGTTTGACTATATCTCATCCCTCCACGATAAGCAGAGGAAGGTCTTTGTGGAAGATCCTCTTTAGTCAGACCTCCATGCTGACAGATTGCTCCTGCACTCAGACTGGCTTGAACATGCTGCACAGGTCGCCCATCTCCCACTATTCCTCCAATAGAAGTCTGATACACCAACCGATTTTGGCCCCCAGCCATTTCTGCTAGTGAAGACTGAAACTTGTTGGCCACAGAATGGGATACTTGGCCATATGTTCCTGTTGGGATGACAGTACTACAATGCCCAGCTGAACTTGGCTGGTTGCTTCTGACAATCTGTGCCTTGGCAGGTTGCAACCTAAGTCCTTGCTGTGGAACTGCAACAGGTAGTGGAAGCATCTGGAAAGATCTCTGTGTCATTTTAGAAAGTGGAGACTTGGGCCGACTAGGAAGTTGAGTGATGTTGGATTCTTGCTGGTATCGTACTGGTGAACTGGACTGAGCTCTGTAGACACTCACACTATCTGCAGGAGGACTGGCTCGATACTGAGGGCCTCTACGAAGGGGTGAAGGAGGTGGGCTTTGATAATCCTTCCCTTGGCTACCAATTGGTGGTGGACTAAAACGGTAAGAGGAGGGCTGATGCGCAGGAGATGTGTGTGGTGGACTAGGCCTATAATGAGAATTCTGGTGCGTTGGAGAAAGTGCTGGTGAGGTGGGTTGATATCCTTGCCTTGTTGGTGATCCTACAGAATTATTTGATCTGAAGTCGAAGACCTGATGTGAACCAAGTGGTGAATTGGAGATGTAGGCAGAGTCCCGGTGGGCAGGTGAAGATGGTGGACTTTGGATAATGGGCAATGTTGGGCTAGGTTGTGACTCTGTCTGCAAGCCAACAGAAATATTTTCTACATCTTGCTCAAGATATTCTTCTTCCAAGATATCTTGTACTGCGTACAATTCTTCTTGCTGTGTTTCTGATTCAGATGCTGCAAGGGGTTGTTGTTGTAGTTGCACCTGTGTCTGTCTGCACTCTTCTTCTACCCGCAAAAGGAGCCGCTGGATTTCACGGTTGTTTGGACAAAGTTTGATGGCCTCATTCAAATCCTCCAGTGCTGCTGAAAACTGCCTGTTTTATCCAAAAAGTGACAAAATGAAAAGAAAATAAGAGAGTAAAATTTACTCTGGATAATAATGGCTTTAATATGAATTTGGTATGCATAAAATTGTAGCTAGTCTTGAGGAGGAGGATTTCCAAATCTTATGAACAAGATTATTCAGCCTTGTGTGTTTCTTCTATTTATCCAGATGAAGAAACAGATAGTATTTCCAAGATTGCACTCTTGGAGATGAGGGAACAAAGACAATATATTGGGATATTTTAGATCTGTAGAGCTCTGTTTCTCCACTATTTTAAGTCTGAGCATATGCCAGTTTAAGGCTCCAGACAAAAAGCACACTCTGACCTGCATTCAGCCAGTGGATTCTGTTCTGAATATTGCTGTCTTTGAAATGAAGAGAACAAGGATAGGAGAGTGTCTGACAAAAAATAATCCCTCACAAGCCTTTGCCTATCCTATTAGGAACAGAAGGGTGGGAAGTTTCAAGGGAGATGGGTTGTCATTTACAGGGACACTGGTAGATTTTGAACCAAATAGTAAACTAGTTGTATGTTTCTGATTGATAGATTTATTTATCTCTACACTTTTCATGCATTTTGCTTTCTTGTTCGGTTTTTAAAACACACAAATGTGTTTTAAAAACATAAAAACTATTGAACACCTAAAGTTTGACCTATACTGACTATTGATGCTGGGAGGCAAGACAAGATTTTTTTTTTTACTGTAGACCCCAAGAATCTAATGAGGGGAAGTCCTAGCAATTAATTATGTTAACTGTTTGAACAACATATTGCCAATTCTGGAAAATCAAATAAAACAGCATAAATGTGGAAAACTATGGTACTAACTTGCACTTTAATTCAATTAGTAGAGTTCTGACTGTGGAATGAAGTTTAATTACAACTAGGAGAGACCCAGAGAACGGTATATAGCAACCTAATGGGCCGTTCTTGAGCAAAGGGATTAAACCATGGGATTTTAAGCTCAATCTCATAGAAAGCACACTCTTGTTATCTTATTCAATGATCTGATCACATAGAAAGCAGTTTCTGAAAGATAAAGCTCTCCAGCAATTTCAGTATTCTGAAATGTGATCCCACCTTAAGCATGTGAACTGGGCCGCGCGCGTGAGCATGCACACACACACACACACACAGCGGTGTGCAAAGGTTTTTAGGCAGTTGTGCAAAAATGCTGTAAATTAAGAATACTTTCAGAAATAAAAGTGTTAATAGTTTATTTTTTTATCAATTAACAAAATGGAAAGTAAATGAATAGAAGATAAATCCAAAGCAAATCAATACTTGGGGTGACCATCCTTTGCTTTCAAACCAGAATCAATTCTTCCATTTGCACAAAATCAGGGATCTTGTCCAACTAGAACCAGGTGTATGATTAACCAATTATACCAAGCAGGTGCTAATGATCATTAATTTCATATGTAGGTTGAAACAGTAATTAACTGAAACAGAAACAGCTGTGTAGGAGGCTTAAAACTGGGTGAGGAACAGACAAACTCTGCTACTTAGGTGAGGTTGTGGAAGACTGTTTCATGTCATAGCTGAGCACAGGAACAAGACAAAAGGTAGATATTCAAAAGGTAGCAAGGATTCTACGAGGCAAAGATTTCAAAGCAGACTGGGGTTTCAAAATGTGCTGTTTAAGCTCTTTTGAAGAAGCACAAAGAAATGGGCAATGTTGAGGACCACAGATACGGTGGTCAGCCAAGGAAACCTAACACAGAGATGACAAACACATCATGCTCACTTCCCTTTGACATTGGAAGATGTCCAGCAGTGCCATCAACTGGCAGAAACCAGACCCAAGTACACCCATCTATTTCTACATTTTGATGAGTCAAAATGTGAAATATTTGGCTGTAGCAGAAGGCAGTTTGTTTGTTGAAGGGCTGGAAAGCATACAATAATGAGTGTCTGCAGGCAACAGTTAAACATGGTGGAAGTTCCTTGCAAGTTTGGAGCTGCATTTCTGCAAATGGAGTTGAAGATTTTGTCAGGATAAATTATGTCCTCAGTGCTGAGAAATACAGGCAGATACTTAGCAGTCATGCCATATATCAGGCATGTGATTGGCTCCAAATTTATTCTGCAGCAGGACAACAGCTCCAAACATATAGCCAATGCCATTCAGAACTAACTTCAGCATAAAGAAGAACAAGGAGTCCTGAAAGTGATGATTTGGCCGCCACAGAGCCCTGATCTCTACATTATTGAATTGGAGATTACATGAAGAGACAGAAGAATCTGAGGCAGCCTATGTCCTCAGAAGGTCTGTGGTTAGTTCTCCAAGATGTTTGGAACAACCTTGAAGGAGTTCCTTCAAAAACTGTGTGCAACTATACTTAGAAGAATTGATGCTGCTTTGAAGCCATAGGGTGGCCACTCCAAATATTATTTAATTTGGATTTCTCTTCTGTTCATTTACTTTCCATTTTGTTAATTGATAAAAATAAACTATTAACATTTCTATTTCTGAAAGCATTCTTAATTTACAGCATTTTTGCACAACTGCCTAAAACTTTTGCACAGTACTCTGTGTGTATATGTATATGTATATATCTTGATCCAATTGCTTTCAACTTTCTTACATAACAGGTAGCCTTATACTTAGAGCAAGTTATTGATTAATCCACAAACTAATCCTCCATGCTGATGCATGTTATTATGATGTGAATAAAGGTAATACTAGCAGAATGTTCTATAAGGACGTTATGGCAAAACCTAAAGAGCTACTATAATTGAAACTGTGGAAGGTGCTCAGCTTGATGACAGGCTATAACAGCATCTGAATCTGTTATTTTCGGATTGTAATTATATTCTTCCTCAAATATATTCTTGCTATTTGTTCCTTGTGTGGATCAGGACATTTTTAGGAGTGTATGACACCCAAACCTTCATTTCTCTCTGGCTCTCCTCTCACCTGCTGCTGCGTTTGGCCCTTGCTCTTGCATAGTAAGCTTCATAAGATTTCGGTTTCAGCTCCAGTGCTTTAGTAGCAAATTCCTCCGCCATTCCAAAATCCTGCCATTACAATAGGTGCGTAGATAAGTCATTGAAAAAACACACAGAGAATTTGGGAAGAAAAGAAATAAAATTGATAGATTGTTGTAAGCGGACTGAGTACTTTCCAACATTAACAAAATATCAGACAGCTGGTATCGAGAGATCCAACTTTTTTAGATATTATCTGTTCCTAACCTGGGACTGTAAGTGTCAAATCTGTTCTTTGGGCATACATCCAGTCCATGTATCATCATTTATTCCGCCCTAGAAATAGTAAAATCTACTTCATTCTTTTTATTTGCAACTTTCTTAGTGCTTCAATGCTAATAACTTGAAATAATTTATGACTTCATACTGACCATTGACATGAACAAGTTGTGGAACACACACATATATAGTTTTTCCCATATTCTTAGGGTTGCCTCACTTAAACTATTGTGTGTTGAAGGAATTAGGTGACAGTAACGTAGGGATATATTATGTAATCTGGACATTAGCAATAATTCCTAATAATTATCTTTATGATTATATGAAGAATCTTAACTAGATACAGAAATACACACATTAAATTTCTCTACTTAGTTGTTCCATACTTGTGTGGCCAGTAGTACATAGAAGAGAAGACATGGCAAAATGGGCAGCATGGGCAAGCTTACATTGTATAAACCTACCATTCAAACAATATGACTTTAAAACTTTTAGGTGACATTTCTCAGAATTAAAATTCCAAGATAGAAGTAGGTATGTCTGATTTTATCTGAACTTTTTGTTGAACTAAAGATAGGGAATAGGAGTAGGTATATCTGATTTTATCATTAAAATAAAAGAGTTTCTCAATTTAGCTAGAGTTAATACCATTATTTTGATGATATAAGCTTGTAATATTAAGTGCCTTGCTGGATTGGACCCTTGGCCCTTATAATCCAGGAGTCTGTTCTACAATAGCCAACCAAGTGTGCAGGACTGCAACTGTAAAAATCTCTTGTTATTTATAAGTTTATTTAAAATCTAACCTGTTGTTATATATCCCAATCTCTAAGTCATTATTATATGATTTCTAACCTAAAAAGTTCTCTTTTTTTCTCTCTCACAGCTGTATTCCACTATATGCACACACACATTTTATGTTGTTTTAAACAATGGCTTTTGAATAGACTGTCATATGTGAGGAGAGCGTCTATGCATTTTGAGACTGAGTCTCTGTTCTAAGAGAAAGCAAGAGCTTTAGAAGGAAAAGACAATATTTTATATCTACCAGCATCCTTCAATTTGCATACGCACAAATATTTTTTAGAAAGTGAAAGGAAGCTGTTTTCATAAACTGATGAATTTCTAATTGTTTGAAATAAATCCTAAACTATTGCTTGGCTGTTTCAGAATTAGAAAACGCCAGTGCTCTGTGAAGGACAACCAAGTTACAAAAAAGGTGGAGGTTTTAAGGCCATTCTAGGAATATAGGTAAGAGTCTGGTTAGGAAGTGATTAGGAATAGGAAAGGAAGCTGGGAAAGGATCACATTCAGGAATAAGCTGTAAGAAGGAGGGCACTTACATTCATTTTCCTCCGACAGCGTGATAAGTTGAGAAGGAGTGACACCTTCAGTTCCCGGAAAGTTTTTAGATCTTCTCCAAACCCTTCTCGGGGAAACTTCTTCAAAGCATACTGATACCGTTGGGCAGCTTCTTTCACTTTCCCTTTCTAATAAAATGTCAAACAGTAAATGTACCATTCAGTTTTTTTATCTGACTGTTGTAAGAGTTATACTGTAGATCAAGAAACTGAATGTGCCTGTAAAAGGTACTAGAAATAAACAAGGAATATCAGTTATTCTCTTTAGAGAATAACTTTTATCGATTTGATGATCATTAATAGAATGTATTTACAAACAATTCAGATTCTTTTTCTGCATACCTTTATATTTCTTGCTTTATTGGAGAATCAATTTTCTAAGAGATACTTTTTGTTGAATGATTAAACAGTGTACATATTAAGAAAGTATTATGTAAGGAAGTAAGGAAAATAAGGAAGAATAAGCAGTAACTCCCAATAATTTTCATTATTTAGCACATACTTCACTCTAACCAAAATCATGTGCCTAACAGACATGTAAAATTGCCTAATAATCTCTTCTGGCCTATGATTTAAGATGCAGTGGATATTCTCTTGTTATACAGTTTTCAATTATGAAATTTTTATTTGTTTTTCACAAAAAGGTGAACTAATTAATAGACAAATGGATCAGCAGAAAAAAAGCAACAACTATTATTTCTGTGGAGAAAATGGAATATTGGACACTTACCATGAAGAATATTTTTTGTTTGACGTACTACATCTTCATACTGGACTATGATTTCCCTGCAGTTCAGAAATGGCAAGATTCCTTACCCAAGATCTTTATTGAATCATTCTCTTAATGAAACTTAATGAAAGTTCAATTCCAAAGCAAGATTTAAATACAGGAAAGAAGGCCAGGTTGATATAATAAAAGGACTAATGTATAACTACAATTAGTCCTTGAGTTATAACCGTTAGTTTAGCAACCGTTCAAAGTTATGACGGTGCTGAAAAAAGTGACTTACGATTTGTCCTTGCACTTATGACCACTGCAGCATCTCCGCAGTTACGAGATTGCGATTCAGCCAGCATGTAGTTACAACAATTGCAGCACCCCAGGGATACATGATTCGCAACCTTCCTAACCAACTTCTGGCAAGCAAACTCAATGGGGGAACCTGTATTTGCTTAATGACCACATGATTAACTTAATGATAATAGAAAAAAGATCATAGAATCAGGTGTGATCATGTGATAATTCATTTAAGGACTGGATAATTTAGCAACACAAGTTCCAGTCCTAAGTCGAGGACTACCTGTGTTAGTGAAGCAATCTCTTTGAATTATTTGTAGTACAATATGGAAGAGTGAGTTAGCTAACATGACATAATATGACGTGGGATTGGTTCTCATAAGAAAATGGAGCATCAGCCATGCTAATGAGAAATATTGGGACAGAAAGAAAGTAAACTGAACTCCTCATGGGTTCTAGGGAAAACTAGGGAAAACAATAATGAGGAATTGTTTTTTTAAACATGAAAATGGTTAGGGAAATGCTATAGTAGAACAATGAGAAATATAGAAGGTAAATAAGTAGGTCCAAGGATTTAGGAGAAAACTATTATGAATATAGATAGAGCATAGGATTTTTCTAAACTCTTTCCTGACAATCGCGAGGCAATCCTGATGGGAGGCAATCTAAATGCTTTAAGGAAATGTTTTCTTTATAGCATTCTAGAACAGGATTGATTTTCTAAACTGTGTTTCTTAAAAGTTATGTTTTCTGGACCCTCTTCCAATTTTAAAAATTACAGAGGAAGAGCCCAAAAGAGCTTTCATTTGTATGAGTTACATTTATCAATATTCACCATATTAAAAATTTAAATTGATGCATTCAAGAAAATGTTTTATTCAATCATGTAAAAATAACAATATTAAATCCATTAGAAATTAACATAAATACAATATTTTTCATGAAAAACTCTATATTTTTAACAAATGAAAAATAATATGTTGTAATATATAAGAGTTGTAAACTTTCTATGAAATTCTTATTTTCCCTTTATTCTCGTTTGTTTGCTTTACTGAGGTTCAGCAGTGTATCATTTAATCATTTTTGCAATCACCTGAAGTGAAGGATTTTACCCACAGCTTCCAAATGGCCAAATAAACTGTGGGTGAAACTCTTATACTTTAGGTAACTTCAAAAACCCTAAAACAGTATGCTATTAAGACTTCTTTTTTCTCCAATGAACATGGGGTAAAGCAGAAAGCTTGTGGGGAAAAATAGTAATTAAAAAAGAATTTTCTCTTTAGTTTTGAACTCACAATCTTCTATTTACAAGGCAAGTGTGTTAACCATTATTCTATTAGAGCATTCATAGTAAAAGCAGTTTTAAAAATAATAAGAGATTCTGAAATAAAATACAATAATAGGTTTTACATTGCTTCAAAATGGCTGAATGATTTTAGAGGTCACTCACTGGCACTTATAGAGAAATGGCCTAAAAACAGAAATAATTATAGAATGATTCTAATTTTCACAACTTTTATTACAATAGGACAGCAAACAGCCTAAAGTCATTCACGCCACTTCAGTCTCACTCTTCTTAATGTAAATGATGGTTTATATTCTTCTCCTAATAGCTTTAAATATGATTAAAGACTTGTACTGGCAATAAAAGATCAGTGCTAATCAGATTTTCTTATACTGTAAGTAGTGTTTATTAACTAGCTTGAAACAATGATTACGATGGGAGTCTGGTTTATTTAATTATAAGACTATTTAATAAATTACAAATTTAAACAACATAATAAAATATCTTATCAACACCATTTTTAAAAAGGAGCAATGGAAATAAATTGATGAAGGATTCTACGCTGAAAATATATTTGGTGTATTTTATAAGCAAATTTATCCCATAAGGGAGACTGTTCTCTAATCTGGAAGTCACAATTGAAAAGTATCTCTTCCTTAATCCTCACCAGGAAGCATCTTGTCAAAAGGAGAAATCAGAAGATGGCAGCAATAAAATCTGCAGAAATGGAGCGACATTCTTAGGCAATTGGGAGGATGTAATTATTGAGATGCTCCAGTCTAACAGGGTTTAAAGGACAAAATCAGAAACTTCATCGTAGAAACAAAGTGGGAATGATCAGACTGAGATCAAATTCATACAATATAGTCTGTTTTGCAAATGCAAGTAAGATTCTCACAGTGGCATTCCAGGCTAACTGAAGTTTCTACAAGCAGGTCCACACAGTGTACAGTATAATAATGCAGTCTGAAAATTATAAAACGATGAACGATTATAGCACTGATTTTTCCCCAGGAAAAGAACACAAGAAAATTTTAGTCATAGTTGTTTAAATTATGATTATGGTTTGCAGAGAAGGAAAAGTGAGAAATTAAAATTAGTAGAGAGAATTTCACAGTCTGATCTTTAGGATTTAATTATGGTTAAATATAAAGACTATTATGTCTATTCATAACTTCAGTCTGAACTATATACAACTTGGGTTGAATTTTATTTTTTTCATAAATAAAATATATGGCAATCTTAACTCTCAGAATAAAGAAAACTATCTGAGTCCCAGAGAGCTATTTCAGATATTAGAGAATTCAAACACTCTCTTTTTCTCAGATTGGACAATTTATCACAGAGTAATTGTCATAGATATGATGGACAATCAAAAGACCCTTTGCATTTTATCAAAGAATGTATTTTGTCCCAGTGATCACAGAAAATTGTATGGATTATCAAATCTGCAAATGTAGTGTTTAACTTAGTGTTGGAAACATACAGAAGAGGCCTTCATCCTGCAGAAGATAGAAGATAACTAAAATGATGATGATGAGTGTTTAACTATATAAATGTTTAAATACATATATACCTACATAAACTTATGTATGTTGTTCTAAATTTAGGCTATAAATGTATCTTTTTAGCTTTGAAATTAGGGAATTGTAGTTTATTTAACAGTTCAAAATACTGCCAGAACTGCCTATGTTATGAATTAAAATTTCTGAAGACTTCTGGTATATATTTTCATTGCTCTATAAACAAAGAATGATAAATGTTTCTTTTTTTTTTAACACAAAAGCTCAATTATTAAATATAAAATCACAGTTTCCATCCTACCTTGTAAAACATGTCTCCCTCCTCCATCAATTTGCTCAACAGGATGACCATGATGTCTGGTTTGGAAGTGGCCATTGCCCATGTTGCTGGACCTGTAGTGTACAGGATGCATGATGGGTAAAAAACTCATACAATGCAAAAGGTGGCAGTGGAGGAAAGCTAAAATGAGAAAACATCCTGGGCAGATAATTTCTGATGGAGAGAACAACTTGTTACAGTCAATTCAAGAAGCAACTTTGTCCCAGCAAAAAAGTTGGGTTTGTAGATGTAAGTGACTAAAATATATACTTTGCAATATTATAATTATATTAATTTTAGAACAAGTCATAAATACTTGAGTCATTTTTGAAGAGAGAATATTCACTTAGTGGCATTACCAAGAAAACATTAAAAAAAAATGAGTAAGAGTAAGTCTAATATTAACTAGAATTAAAACTAATATCTATATCATTGTATATAAATTAACTGATGTGCAATGCAAAATTTGATAGATATATATCTGAAATTTTCTGTGTCAATATTTGTGTCACCATGTGAAAATCTTTTAAAACTTCAGTGTTTCAGGAAAAAAAATTCAATTCAAACTAAGTTATTATCTGTAAAATGCATTATCCTGATGCAGTTCAAAAGTCCAGTTTTATATTGGTCTTCAAAAACAAAAACAATAAACAAACAAATCATTTTAGAATGAGTATTTCTCTCAATAAATTATCAGCTTCTGACATTCTTATCATCATAGAAAAGCATTTCAGAAGGCTCAATGAAAACAAATTTGCAGTGTTTTACATATTTTGCAGCATTTTTAAGTGAATTTAGTCTTGCATTCAAGTTATTCTCTGCAGCAGTAAGAAAAGAAAATTATTTGAAGGTAAGAAAAATTAAAAGTGGGGAATGGAACACAGGCAGGCAAAACTGTAGAAGAGAAAAGGCAGAGCTGTTAGACCACCAAGTTTGATGATGACAGCAGTGAAATATACCTCTTGGACGACTTGGTAGTGTCTGACAGCCTTTGGGGGATGTGGGGGATGGCGGGGAAGATAGGAGGAAAACACAAAGTTGTGGGAGAGGGAGAAAAAATGGATGAAGGTGAATTTTAAAAAAAGGAAAAAGCAGCAGTGAGAGGCAGGCAGCAAAGCAGCAGCAAATTTTGTGATGCAAGAATTAAGAGACAAAGGCATATGCAGATAATGCTCAAATCTAAAAACATCTACAGAGTAGGGTAGGCAGCATACCAGCATAACACAGCTGTTTAATTTTTCATTTTTAGACAAGGACTTTTCTTTAGTTTGTAAGAGCTAAATAATGAATTCACTACTGCAATTCTCACATATGGAAATGCTGAGCATCTGCATATTGTAACTGGCTATGCCTATATCACGGGAGTATACTGTGTTTTCATATTCAAGAAAGGTATGAAAGATAGGTTATTCCCTTTGTGTCCTTCCTACCTATCTTGGCTCCTTTCTTCAAGAGAGTAACTACAACAGAAGTATTGCGGCAGCCCACTGCCCTATCGAGGGGGCGCATCCCACTGTAATCCACATGCTCAATCATGGCACCATGATCCACCAGGAACTGAACCTATAAACAAACAAATAACTGAGTCAGCATCATCCAGAAACAATAAATGTTCTTATGTGATTAAGCTGAGGTTTCAGATTCATAGAATGCTGGTTATCTTCTTTAAAGTCTTACATGATATAAGGCCAGATTTTGAACTGCTTATTGGTAGCTGTTAGGATGGATGTGCTCCTGATCTTATCAGGAGCACATCCATTAATAAAACATTAATGCCTTGCAGAATCCAAAAAACATGCCTTCTTTGTAATGGTGCCTGCCTGGTGAAACACTTTCCCTAGATCAGATGGCCCTGATCTTGTTGACTTTCTGGAAAGCTGAAAAACCTGGCTTTCCCCACAGACATTAAGGCTAGGTTGTTAGTGGTGCATCACATAGAGGTCACTGTATGTATGGTTGAGGATAAAATGTGAGGTGCCTTGACTTTTGTATTTATTAGATTTCTTTGTATATATGTTGTTTTTATAATTTGTAAGCTATATTTCTATATATAGGTTTAACTATATCACTAAGATTGATGTCTCTTTTGATATCAATTGGAGGAATATGACAAGCTGGACTAGTTTGTCAGACGGGCCAACCTGTTGCGCAAAAATCCCAAATGGCGCAGAAAGCTGGAGTTTACAGCATATTTGAAGTATTGTAGGAGTCATCAAGGCTTATTGCTGACAATGTAACTTCATGCTCGTTCCTGTTTTTTAGCCCTCCAATCCAATGTTGAAGTTAACATTTAAAAGGCATATAAGTTGTTCAATACTGACTATTTACAGTTGCAAGAAAAAGTATGTGAACCCCTTGGGATTACGTGGAGTTTTGCATGAATTGGTCATAAAATGTGCTCTGAACTTCATCTAAATCACAACAATAGAAAAACACAGTCTGCTTAAAATAATGCTACACAAACATTAGATGTTGCCATGGTTTAATTGAACATAACATGTAAACATTCACAGTGCAGAGAGGAAAAAGTATGTGAAACTTTGGACTTAATAACTGGTTGACCCTCCTTTGGCAGCAATAACCTCAACCAAACGTTTCCTGTAGTTGCAGATCAGACCTGCACAACGATCTGGAGTAATTTTGGACCACTCCTCTTCACAAAACTGTTTCAGTGTAGCAATATTTTTGGGATGTCTGGTGTGAATCCCTCTCTTAAGGTCATGCCACAGCATTTCAATTGGGTTGAGGTCAGGACTCTGACTGGGCTACTCCAGAAGGCGTATTCTGTGCTGTTGAAGCCATTGTTTTGTTGAATTACTTGTATGCTTTGGATCATTGTCCTGTTGCATCACCCATCCTCTGCGGAGCTTCAGTTGGTGGACAGATGGTCGAACGTTTTCCTGCAAAATGTCTTGATAAACTCTGGAATTCATTTTCCCATCAATGACAACAATCCGTCCAGGCCCTGAGGAAGCAAAGCAGCCCCAAACCATGATGCTCCCTCCACCATGTTTTACAGTGGGGATGAGGTTTTGATGTTGGTGTGCTGTGCCTTTTTGTCTCCACACATAGTGTTGTGTGTTCTTCCCAAACAACTCAATTTTGGTTTCATCTTTCCACAGTATATTTTGCCAGTAGTGCTGTGGAACATCCAGGTGCTCTTTTGCAAACTTCAAACGTGCTGTAATATTTTTTTTGGGCAGCAATGGCTTCCTCCGTGGTGTCCTCCCATGTACTCCATTCTTGTTTAATGTTTTCCTTATTGTAGATGTGTCAACAAAAATGTTAGCATGTGCCAGAGATTTCTGTAGGTCTTTAGCTGACACTCTAGGATTCTTCTTTACCTCATGAAGCATTCTGCACTGTGCTCTTGCAGTCATTTTTACAGGACGACCACACCTAGGGAGAGTAGCAACAGTGCTAAACTTTCTCCATCTGTAGACAGTCTGTCTTACCATGGACACATGAACATCAAGGCTTTTGGAGATACTTTTGTAACCCTTTCCAGCTTCATGCAAGTCAACGATTCTTGATCGTAGGTCTTCTGAGAGCTCTTTTCTGCGAGGCATGGTTCACATCAGACAGTGCTTCTTGAAACCAGTAAACCCAAAACAGGTGTGTGTTTTTAAAGGGCAGGACAGCTGTCAGCAACACATCCAATATCATCACACTGATTGGAGTCAAGGTTGGCTCACTCCTGGTTCTAATTAGCTCTTGGAGAAATCATTAGGCTAGGGGCTCACATATTTTTTCCTCCCTGCACTGTGAATGTTTACATGTTCAATTAAACCATGGCAACTTCTAATGTTTGTGTAGTATTATTTTAAGCAGACTGTGTTTTTCTATTGTTGTGACTTAGATGAAGTTCAGAGCACATTTTATGACCAATTCATGCAAAACTCCACGTAATCCCAAGGGGTTCACATACTTTTTCTTGCAACTGTATGTGGTCTGAGAAGACAGTTAGTAATCCAATTAACTCTACATATTAAATTAAATATGAAAGATTGACAAAGGTGTCATAGGTTTCAATTCCCCTTTACATTTTATAAGATGCAACTGAAAATACTGGATTACATAGTCCATTTTTTCCATGGTATGAACTATGGAATGAAGAATGGGGCATGCCATTTACTTGCTAGTTTCAGTTTATTCTACTGCAAACTGAGATTATTTGAAGGAAAGTAGAGAGGTACCAATATTATGTCTGTGTCTGTATGTCATATGAATCAGTGGCTGTGATAAAGAAATGCAATGAATTATTATCTCTTATAGAATAAATAAACAAACAAGCAATAAAAATAATCATAACTTACCACCTCTGCATCTCCATAAAAAGCTGCTAAATCCAATGGAGTACGCCCATTTTTGTCAGCGTGATCTGTAGCAGCTCCACTTTCTACCAAAGCTCGCACTACCGAAAGATGGCCTTTTAGGCAAGCCCAGCTAAGAGCAGTTAGTCCTTCTTTGTCCATTAAAGAAATTGAGGAGCCTGGAGGAAAAAAGCAAAGCTACTTAAGTGCTTGCACAAGGTAAAATGATACATATACCTCATTCTTGTAGCAATCTTTCATAAAGGTTTGGTCTTATAATAATTTAGGAATGTATGCATCTCTTTTACAAGACGTACTGCTTATATTAGCTTGATAGATACTGTAGAGAAAAAATGTTACCAAATAGCTTGCTGGAGTAGCTTGTAGAATATTTTATGGTCAGAAAATGGCTCCACAATTATTTTTACTGTATGTTAGAACAAAATTCTTGTAATATTCTTCTGAATTTTTGCTCATTCCTTAATTGCTCATTCCTTAAGAATGAGACAAAGTTATTTATTGATTAGTTCTCCGATCTAATCTTAAATTCTCCAGAAGCATCTCAGTTAAATCATTCTTGCATTAAAACAAGAAACAAAATGGCCCTAGTGGATAAAAGAGAAGAATATAACCATTTAACAAAACATAGAGATCAAGAGATCAAAAATGAGATCTAAAACATATTGCCACACAAATGATAATCCCCACCCCCCAGATAAGAGTGTCAACTGGGTAACTCAGAAATAGGGAAGGCTTTAGCAGCCAGAGTTGCATAGCCCATTATGGTTCACCAGTCCTTCCCTGCATCCCAAATCTTGCCATCATATAATACTGGGGTGGGTTCTAAATTTTTTTACTACCGGTTCTGTGGGCATGGCTTATTTTGTGGGCATGGCTTGATGGTCATGTGACAATTCTTTAAGATTTAGCAGAGATACAGGCTTTTAACTACTTGCAGAGCTGTACCGGTCTACCCATTTATTTTTGGAGCGTCCTGGTCTACCCATTTATTCTTGGAGCATCCTGGTCTACCCATTTGTTCTTGGAGCGTCCTGGTCTACCCATTTGTTTTTCGAGCGTCCTGGTCTACCCACTTGTTTTTGGAGGCACTGGTCTACCACCACACTGCCTTTTAACACTGATCAGCGATAGGGCGGCCCTTTGAAGCCCCGCGGCAAGAGTTTAAACTGTTTTTTTCTTTCTAGCCCTCAGCTGGGACTCGGGAGGCAGAGAACAGATTGGGGGCAGGGCCAAATAAAAGATAAGAATAACGTGGGTGCGGCGGGAGGGCCCAGCTCCCGAACAAAGAGAACCAGTTAGGTGACGTTATATCGTCACCGCTACCGGCTCGGCCGAACCGGGCTGAACTGGGAAGAACCCACCACTAATATAATATCATCTTGTTCCCCACAGGAAAATGTTGATGTATGTATAATTGCATATTTGTTTAGCCTACTTATCAGACTACCAGGGCAGAGCAGAAATCTGAGATCCAGTTCATCTATTGACTTCCTTGTTGCCCAAAAGAATCTCTGCCCAGGTTGCTTAATCAGTTACCCAGTGTGTGTGGAAATGCCCCTTTTGCTGGCATTGATGACTTCAACCTTCACGCTTTAGAGAGTGGGTTGGGAAGAGTTAAAGATTTTATGGACAACATAATTATGGACAACATTATAACTAGCCCTGTGCCATGATTTTATAATTTCCCAATCCTGGTAAAAATAGTTTATTCCATTTATAGGGTCCCTTAATTCAAATGACTCAAGGCTGATGAGATTGACTGTTGCTAATGATCTTTGTGAGGTAAACTGACAGATTACAAAGGTCGATCTCAGGTGCCTTATGAATTCAGATCAATTCTGGAAATGCCTGGTGAGAGTCTCGGTGATTTACAGTATACATAATTGTATTTTCTAAACAACCTGAGGTTATGGGAAATTGTTTTTGAGTGCCTTCCCTCTGTATACCACTGAATGGCTACTTTGCTTATTGCAGACTTTAGACAGATGAAACAAAAACACCTGGAATGCTGGTTTGGAAACACGAGAAGTGAAAATGGGGAAAATTCAAATCTGAGCCTACACCATGGCAATAAAACAGATTTGGAATATGTTTCCTCTCTTATTGCATCAATGAAGTGCTGTTCAATGGTCTTGTTCAAGCTAGCAAGCACCCCCTCTGAGCAGAGATCATGTGTAACTTCTGTTGGCAGAATTCTTTGCTGATAAAAGTAAATCAAATTCACCAGTCTTTTGACAGCTATCCCATTGCGAACCAATACTAAAGGTAAGTAGAACCCACCCCTGGTGTGTATGTATATAGGAGGGCTGGTTCAAGGTGATTATCAATGCTTTGCTTTAGGTAATGTAAAGGTTCCCCTTGCACATATGTGCTAGTCGTTCCCAACTCTAGGGGGCGGTGCTCATCTCCATTTCAAAGCCGAAGAGCCAGCACTGTCCAAAGATGTCTCTGTGGTCATGTGGCCGGCATGATTAAATGCCAAAGGGGCACAAAACGCTGTTACCTTCCCACCAAAGGTGGTCCCTATTTTTCTACTTGTATTTTTTTAGGTGCTTTCGAACTGCTAGGTTGGCAGAAGCTGGGACAAGTAACGGGAGCTCACCCGTTACTAGAGATTTGAACTGCTGAACTGCTGACCTTTAGATCAACAAGCTCAGCATCTTAGCCACTGAGCCACTGCTTTGCTTTAGGAAGGGACATTTCCTACAGATTTAAAAGAGGTCTTCCCAGAATTCAACTACTCTTGGAAATTATTGCTGTCTCTTTTGTAGACAAGAAACAGATATCATATGTGCCTAAAACTACTTTTTATTAAGAATGGCTATAGTCCCAGAAAGTTGCAAGTTAGAATGTGCTTCTCTTTCTCCTTTTATAATCTTTGAATGAATTCAGGGTGTTTTGTCTAAGATATTTTCATACAGTTTCCCCTCATCTAGGCTTAAATAATTTTTATTTCCTTGTCGCCTGCTTTATTCTCTGCAGTTATTCAGACTATGCTCACTGGTTAGCTACAGAGCATACTAGAAGAAATGGATTATCTTTTCAATCAAAATTCAAGCATGGGCATAGGGCTGGGGACCGTGCTGGTTGTTGCCTTTGCCTTGGCATCCATTTATTTGTCCATTTACTGCCATCTCCATAAATTACTATCATCCTGTCCTGAGCAAAAAAAATCAAGCCAAGCATCTATTTTCTATATGAGTGGGACTGGACATTATTTGGGAGAATTCCATGCTTGTCATGGAATCTTGGACTACTCCTAAGAGAATGGCTGGTATATGTCCCCTAGGCACTTATCAGTTAAATCACTCAAACATCAAGGATTTGGGGAAATAAGTAAACTAGAATGTGGTGGTGGGGACAGCATACATGATCTCCCCATCTTCCTGTGGTTACCAATCTCTCTTTCAACATTATTCCTTCCTCTGCCTGGTACACTTAAAATCCTCTTATTTATTCCCTATCAAACTTTTCCTTAATTGTCAGATACCTCAGAAAAATACTGCAAACAATTAGAAACTAGTAGCCTGGGTCTAAACTCATCCTTAATTATACCATACTAAGCCCTACATTTTCTATATCAGAACTTGCAAAACAAACATACTCCAGGTCCACTCTCTGAAATAATATCACTTATTATTGTGTGCCTCCTATATCATGGGACCTGACGTATAGAACAGCCTCCCCTCTGAGACCTGGAAATCTGGTTGGGCTTCTGAAAGACTTTAAAGATATAGGCTTTTTTTCCTCAAGGGGACATGATGTTAGTGTGATCTTGCATTTTTATTTTGTTTTTATTCTGTTAGCAGTTCCGTGAGGTGCTTCAGCTATTTTTAAATTTGATATTATCTTACAGCTATTTGATAGGGTGGCTTTTTTGGGGGGGGGTAAACTTCCCACAATTACCTGATTAAGATGGGCACCATATAGATTAAGAGAAACAGAGATGGATAGAGCGATCTTTATCCCACAGAAGATTAATACAATATAACAAAGAGTGTTTTTAGATCCTTTCTTGTAAAATCTAAGACTGGAAAACCACAGTGGCTCCCGACTTTAAATACAAATTATTACTGATAAACTAACCTCCTGGATAACAATATTCAGCCACGGTGATCTACATTTGGAGTAGTATGTGATCACAAAAATAAAATTCTACATAGATGCAGTGGGTGGATGGGGTTTTGTGAAACACGTAAATATGTGTTGTAAATTAAAATAAATCATTGAAAAGTTGTTTTAAAAAATATCCAAAATATTTCCAAAACATAAAACCATTGGCTGAAAACAAGGCAGTTCCCAACTGCAATGAAAATCTTTTGACCTTGAAATAAACTCTTCTGGCCTCAGTTGATCATATCTCTATTTTATTGTACATGAATGATGTCATACAGAATCAAAGAATGAACAAAATTTTTTATAAAAATGGGAAGATTTGCATTCTGGAAGATTTGGTCTTAATCTTACATTTTTTCAACACTAACCTTGTCCCAATAAGAACTCCACAGTGCCCAAATGCCCCTCTGAAGCTGCCATCATTAGAGGAGTCCGACCTTGTTTATCTGCCATATTAACATCTGCACCATGGGTGAGCAAGAGATCGACAATCTGAAAACACATAAAGAATACACTGGGTACAAACCATCTACATAAATATCATGTCAGAAGTATCATGGATTCTTCTGCTAAGAATGACAATCTTTTAATGGCTGTTGGCTGCAATTAACTTTTTTCTGGAGGGGGTGGAAGAATCCACAGGCAGGGCAATGTAACAAAAAAAAAAAAACAACCTATGGGATATATCCCATCTCATTCTTGCATGATACCTTATGTCTCTGTGACTCAAAAATACATTAAATGCTTCTTAATTGAAACACAGAAAGACTAAACAATTCAAAATAAATTTCAAGATGGCAGTTACTAGGAGCTACCAGAATCTACAGCCCAGAGTCCTAATTGTAGAAGGATGTATTCTAACTAGTTAAGTTCAGGACAATTTTTTGTGGGGGCTATTCCTAGCGGGTGAGTCCAGAGGTTTGTAAATATTTAAATGCTTTTGTAATTACTGTGGTTTATTGCTGATTAGAGAGTCCTATGAGAGATCTTCAGGTTTAATTTAAATATCTTTTCATTGGCTGGATTCTCTTGAATCCCCCTCCCCAATCCTTCTCCACTGAAATTCCTTTGTTTAGATTTATGACTCTTCTACATTTCAGAAGACAGCTTATCATACTGACTAACTTTCTATATTGACTTTGGCAGGTTTTTTTTCCTGCTTACCATCTTTGTTTTATTAATATTTAGAATTGCAACTTTTAATTACAAGAACAGGTTTTCTTACTATTTAATAAGCTTATTAGCTTGTTTTAACTTATCACAGAACTATTATTTTTATTTGTAAAGTGAACTGTTGAAAAAGAGTCAAGTTAGCATAGTAAAGACTTAATAGTATCATTCTTTTTTTGAGAAATTTAAAATTAATATTGTTTTGATGTATTTTTTCCTGAATGTAATTGTACATTCAAAAACTTTATTAATTTGATAATATACTGTATATTTCTGACCCTTACTATTTTGTATGCTTTGATGTAATATATATTTGCCAACTTGTTTTATTATTTTTTCAACTATAAAAGAGTTCCAACATAGAAAATATTTTGAATGGCTATCAAATGTAATATTGTGTGTGAATTAATTGTTTGATATTTGTTAAAAGAAATATTGAGTGCTTGTTTATGGTTATTTTTCTTCTCATACAGTAGTAGTTGGCTATTATATATTTTGTTTTAAATATCTCTGAATTTTATGTTGCTTTAATATTGCCTACTTTTAACATTTTCAATTTTGTTTTAATTTAATAAATAGAAATTCTGAGCATAGAATAAAGTATTATTTTTCCAAAATGAGTATGAATAATAAGGAAGAATCAAAGATGGAAGAAATACAGCTTGATTCGTCTGTACTTTTCTTTCATTGCAAAGAATTTCTGCTTCTATAACACAATTGTGTACTTTTTACATAAGACAAATAGTGACCATCAATCAGTTGCTATTAAATTCTGCAGGCACTCAGACTGCACATCAAATTGATACATGTGATTTATATTATCTGGAGCAGCGGTCCCCAGCCTTTGTAGTTTGGTGGCCTAACTGGGAGAGAGAGGGGAATTGGGCCGTGTGTCAGGCCAGTTTTCACACATGCGCAGCTCAACTTGCACAGGTTGAGCTGCGTGCTTTACACACTGGCTCACTGCTTGCACAAGTTGAATTGTGTGCCAGTCCACCACTCACATGGTCCGGTTGAAAATAGACCACGGCTTGGTAGTAGACCGCAGCCCAGAGGTTGGGGGACACCTGATCTAGAGGTCCACCAGGATAAAATGTGCCAGACTGGATGTGAGGGCTTTGACTAAATATATGAAATATCAAATCCAGATTCTGGTAAACACAGTGACTTCACCTTCCAAAGATATCATATCTGTACTTACAGCCTATGGAAAGCAAAACGTAGGATTAAGAAAATTCTTAACTGAAAAGGCATCCCCAGAAGGTCCCAGATAAAGAGCCCTCACTGGTTTGACTTAACTAAGAAAAAGAATAGCTATGTGTTTAGCAGGGAACAATCTATTAAATGATTATTACATTACCATACTTTCATTTAGATAAGAATACAACAAAACTATCAGGTGTTAAGAAGTTTCACTATTTGTCTTCTCTCTGGTAAACAAAGAATTAGCCTTTCTCTGGCACTCAGTCACAGGAACTTTGCGGGAATGTAGGTTCTCCTTGGACATTCCTACACCTTCCTACATGTGGAAGGAATATTTCAGCCAATTATTCACTGACCCAAGTTGTACTGGATTAGAGGAACCCCAAAATGATTTACCACTCCTTGAGAAGATCTTGTACCCACCTTTGTTATTTAAATGTCACATTGACTGGTGGGCTATCTTACTTGTAGGTTTATTTACTCATATAAATAATTCCTGCCAAATCCCAGATGGTTGGGAATTTTCTATTGTAGTCATCATTTATAAAAAGGGTGATAAGGGTGATCCTTCAAATTATAGACTAATTAATCTAACTGACATCATAGCCAAATATCTTTTATACTAGTTTGAGGCTGGTAATTGAAAAGAACTTGCTACCCAAAGAGCAAATTAGATTTGGGCCTGGTCACTCCATTATTGATAACAGCTTCATTTTAATGTCATCTAGTAGAAAAATATACAGGAAACCAACTGTTTACTACTTTTACAGACTTTATCACAATATTTTATTTAATAAACAATGACTTGCTTTGGAAGAACTCCAGCCTCCTCTCTTTAATCAAGGCTTTACACTGAAACTTATCCCTAAGGCTATACACAGAATCAACAGTTTATCAGTTTATTAACAGAAAATTAATAACAATAAAGAAGTCACATAAGGATGTATACTTTTTGTTTAATCTTTATGTTAATATTTCAAAGTCCCTTCATTCAACCAATATGTATGTGCCTTAAGACGGGGTCACCAACCTTTCGGACCTCAGGGACCACTAAATTCATAATTTTAAATCCCATGGACTACTAATATGATCTGCCTAATGACCGTGTGGGCGTGGCTAGGTGGTCATGTGACTGGGTGGGTGTGGCCAACTCGATGTCACTCATGTCAAGGGGCGCCTCGCCAACCTCTACTCGCCCTTCCCCTGCAAGCCACTCCTCACCTCCCACCCGGGCTCTGGGTGGGGTCCCAAAAGGAAGCAGTTGTTGGAGTTAAGCAACTACCATGAAAAAGTGTTGGCAAAACAGCTGGCTCAGTTCAAATTGGATCTGACCGAGAAGGAGGCTCAGCAGAAGCATGTCATTGAGGACGAGCATAGGCTTTCCAAGCAGAGGGAAGACCTGTGGGAATGCAAGGCCAGGTACCGGTGCCTGGAGGCTCAGTGGGCTGAAATGGTCAGCCAGTGCCAGACATGATGTAGTTTCACTGGAACAAAGCCTTCTGGCTCTTCGCCACCAGTGGCACTTCCCTCCAGCCTTCGCCCAAAGTCCCACACCAGGAGGCTGAAGCAGACTCCAAGTTGGAATTTCTGCCCCCTCTGCCCCACACTAAAAGACCCCGAAGGGGAGACTCTCTGCAGCAACACAAATGTTCATTGCATGTATCCAGTCCAGGGGCCGTAGTTTGAGGACCCATGATTTAATTCAATATAAAAAATGCAAATAATTTTTCTGCGGACCACCAAAATTTTCTCATGGACCACCAATGGTCCACGTACCACCAGTTGGTGACCGCTGCCTTAAGATATGTAAACATTCTGCTTTATGTAGATGATATGGTATTTATATCTTATATCCAGGTAGGGATGAGAATACAATATGTGAAAAACTAAAATAGTTGTTTTCAGGTAAAGGTGGACTAGGTGTAATTAGGGCCTAGATAGGGAATGTATACAAGTCAAATTCTACTTATACTTAGGACTGGGTTTCACAGAAATAGGTTCCCGGTTGCCTCATTTTAAGAAGAATTTTTAAGGGTTACAGCGTGTGCCAATGCCATAAGATAATTCACCAACCATAGTTGTGTGGGTTTTCTACTTCCAATCATAAATATATATAACACCAAAATAATCCCAATGATCATATATAGTGTAGAACTGTGAGGATATATAAATGCTGACTTACTGAAATAAACTGTTGTTGTTCAGTTGTGTAGTCGTATCCAACTCTTTTTGACCCCATGGATCAGGTTCTAGGATAACTCGGCATGGCCAGCTTAGTGCAGCCAGCTCACCATTGCCAAATCACTTCTGCTAGCTGACCGCTACCAAGTCATTGCAGGGCAACTCAACATTGTAGGGACAACTCACCATGGGCAGCCAGAGTGAGAGCCAGGAGGTGAGCACAGAGTGATAGTGATGGCCAGAGACTTCCCAGTGGAGGGAGAGCCAGCTGGTTGGGTGGGCGAGCAGGTGGGCAGAATGCAGAGCAGCAGTGGCAATGGCTGGGAGCTTCCCTCTTTTCACACATGCCACTGCTGCCAAACCAAACTCTGCATATCCAAAGTGGTTGATATTTCTCCTTAATCTTAATTCCTGCTTGTGATTCATCCAGCCTGAAATTTCAAATGATGTATTTTGCATATTTGTTAAATAAGCAGGATTACAATATGCTCCTTGTCATGCTCCTTTCCCTATTTTGAACTAATCAGTTATTCCATGTCTGGTTCTAAATGTTGCTTCTTGACTTGCATACAGGTTTCTCAGGAGAAAGATAAGGTGGTCTATTATTCCTATCCCTTTATGAACTTGCGACAGTTTGTTGTGATCTACACAATCAAAGGCTTTAGTGTAGGCAATGACGCAGACGTTTTTCTGCAACTCCTTTGCTGTCTCCACAATCCAATTCTAGTTCCTCTGTCTCTTCGAAACACAGTTTATACTTCTGGTAGTTCTTGGTTCACATACTGCTGAAGTCTAGCTTGTAGGATTTTGACCATGACCTTGCTAGCATGTGAAATGAGAACAACTGTATAGAATTTGAACTATTCTTTGATAGTGCCCTTCTTTGGAACTGGAATGTAAACTAATCTTTTCCAATCCTGTGACCAGTTTTCCAAATT